GAGACTTACTTTTTAGGACAAGGAACTTGAAATAAAAATTGGAACTTTGTTATTGCACAAGCTAACTGTAGCCAGAATTCTTAATATGCAAAACTGGAAATATACCTCCATCCCCAGGATTGAAGGTGGATGGATGGAAGAAATGAGGGAGTGGGCCGAGGGTGAGATGAACTGCTTTGACCGGACAAAAGGAGAGGTCCAGCTGTGTTTCTATCTGGAAACCACTTCTGGACTTTGTGCTTGAGGCAGAAGGAAGGGACACCTTCCCTATAGGATTTGCTGATTAGGATTGCTTGTTATAGAAATGTACCAAATTTACTAAGAATGAACAGTAGAAGGAAGAATTGAGGCTGAAATTTCACTTTGCATTCTGCTTCCTTGAAAACAGTTTTTTCCTTTCCTTTTTCCCCTTTTCCCTACACTTTCCCATTTCTCTATGAGCTTTATTTTCTATTTCCTTCCATGAGAATCTTCATAAAAAATAATAAAAAGGAGCCTTTTGTTTTAGGGGCACTTCCTGTTCCGCAGCCAAAATACACAAATTCCTGGGGGGAAAAGCTCATCCGGATTCCACAATATATCCACACTTTTCTACTGGCAAAATTTCTTCCGAAACTTTACTTGACGTTTTTCTCTGCTGAAAGAGAGAAATACCTGGAAATGATGGCAAAGAAGTGGAAGTTCTGTGAGGAGAAACTGCCCAAATGCTCCCTGGAGGAGGGACAGGGAACTCAGCTTGGGGATTCCGGAAGGGGGAGGAAAGAAAGGGGGAGGGGAAAAAGGCCAGGCCACCAGAAGCTCATCTGGTGCTGGAATCCCATTAAGTCTCTGCAGGGAACATGTTGAATCTAAAGGGGGAGGAATTGTGGGGGGAGGGTTAGAGGGAAAGAAATATCCGTATCCCCCCCCCCCTCCTTCCTTTGGGAGGAAATATGGGGAGGGGGCACAAGGAGGACATCTAGATCGACTCTCCTGGGGTCTCGCACCCTTCACTCTTTACCTTCCCTGGGTCTCCCTCCTTTCTTCTTGGCCCCCAAATCTTTAGCGCAACTCCCGGCCTTTGAATGGTTTTTGAGGATACCTATCCCACCAAAAAAGACCCCCTGCAGTCCTCCAGAGCCTCTCAAACGGAGGATCTCCAGCACCCCTCTCACAAAAGGGACAGTTTTGGGAAGCCAGTTCTGGAGGAGCAACCCAGAGCCCCCAATCTCTTTCTCCTTCTGTTGCCCCTCCCCTCAAGGTCCAGCTAGAGCAATGGGGGATGATTGGTGGTGGTGGTGGGGTCTTGGCCTCCTCCCCAAATTCACGGGCTCCCCAAAAGGGACCGAAGCTCCCCTCTTGCCTGACCTCCAAAGCCTCAAATTTGAGATTCAGAAGAAAAACAGAAGTTTCTGCAGAAGCCAAAATTCTTTTACTCCAATGCCTCTTCTTCCTTCTGTGGATTCCGGGCTGAAAATGCCTGTTTCCCCGCTTTCGCTTTTCCTTTCCTTCCTCTTTCAATGCAGCCAACTCCGACCCAGACAATTGGGGGTGGGGGGAGAGAGGCCCCCCGGCTGCGACTTCCCACTTCGGCTATAATCGGGGAAGGAGAGGGGGCCCTCTCCATCCTCTTGAGGGGCAACATGGGCAGGAAGGGGGAGGAGACTCGTAGACCGAGGGTGTTGGAGGCTCTGGAGACCCATCAGTTTTTCCCCTCCTCCGGGGGTGGTGGTGGTCCTTCCCAGCCCCCTCCTTACCGGGGGGTCTCCTTCCCCCCTTTGCTTCTGGGGATCTGGGCCAGCGCCCCCACCAGCAGCATCAGGGGGAGCCCAGCAGAGCCCATGGATGCCACCCCACAAGTGCCCCCAAAGAGAGGGAAGGAAGACACGGAGGTTCCCAGTCCCAGAGGAGGAATCGGAGGGTCTGAGCTGGGGGGGAGGGGAGGAGACTTCACCAGATGCAGGAGATAGTTCGGCGCAGAGAAGAAACTCGAGTCGGTTATTCAGGCCAAAGACGCCTTTTCACTCCTCAAAATAATATTCTGGTTTTAAGTTATGTTTCCAAGCAAATGGCAACAAGAAATTAAAGGGGATCCTGAAAGATGGAAAAAAGATCCCTAGTTGGGATCAGTTGCAGTTTCCTGTCCCCTCCCAAAACAGCCCCCAGAGCCTCCCCCAAGACCACCTCAAAGAAGGTGGAGGGGGAGTGATCTGTTACAATCATTAGCTGATTATAAAGCCGAGAGATTAACTCCACAAAGCATCCATACAAAGTCTTTTTATTTTGTTCATCAGGAAGATAACTCACGGTTACGTCAAGATTCATCTCAATGTCCAACTCTTTGCATAGCTGACTTTCTGGTGTAAAGGGATAGTTCTCCTTTCATTCCAATAATGGTGGAGCAAGGGGGTGAAGCAGCAGCATGATGCTGGCTTCAGGCCAGAGTGAAGGAACCTCCCCCAATCCATCAAGGGTCAATTCAGTGACCAATCAGGGTTATAGATGTGGCCACATGACATGGACTACATTTCCCAGGATACCTAACCCTAACCCTTAAGGCAGGGGTGGGCAACTATGGCCCCTTTATGACTTGTGGACTTCAACTCCCAAAATTCCTGAGCTAGCATAGCTTGCTCAGGAATTCTGGGAGTTGAAGTCCATAATTCATAAAAGGGCCATAGTTGCCCACCCCTGCCTTAAGGGGACAGCTCCCAATTCCTAACTAACCATACCAATTCCCCATTAACTAACTATATACTGTTTGGGCAGCACAGAGGGTCACCACCACCCCCTTCACAAAAGGGAAAGTTTGGGGGAGTTGATTTCCGAGGAGCAACTCAGACCCCCAAATCCCTTTCTCTCAAAGCCCTCCCTTGCCTTCCAGGTCCTGATTGAGGAATGGCGGATTATGGGGTGGGGGGTCCTTGGTCCCCTCCCCAAATTCAGAGGCTCCCCCAGAAGGGATACAAGCTCCCCTCTTGCTTGACCCTCAAAGCCTCAAATCTGAGATTCAGAAGAAAAAAGCAAAGTTTCTGAAGGTGCCAAAATCCTTTTTCTTCTACTTTTGGTTGAATTTGTGGATTCAGGACTGAAAATGCCTGTTTCCCCCTCTTGCTTTTCGCCTCCTTCCTCTTTGGACGGAAGAAACTTTGGGGGCTCTGGAGTGATTGGGGCCTTGAAGCCCCTGCCTCTCTTGCCCTCCACCCTTTCCCCCAAGTCTCTCGTGGGGATCCCAGCTCCCTTCTTCTCCCCTCCCCCCCCCCCCCCAGTATCCCTGGGTCCCTCCTAGCCCCTCCTTCCCAGGCATCTTCCCCACTTCGCTTCCAGGGATCACCGATAGCACCGCCCCCATCAACAGCTGGAGGACCCCAGCAGAGCCCATGGGTGCTGCCCCACCAGCACCCCACCCCACCAGGAACAGGGAGACCTAAAAATTTTCCAGCCCCAGAAGCAGAATTGGTGGGTCTGGACTGGGTGAAGATGAAAAGTTTGGAGGGTGGAGGTTTCTTGGGTCACTTTCTGAAGGTTTCGGTCCCAGCTGGGAAGCATCTTCAGCAGAGTGGAGGGAAAAGGTTTAAAAAAAGAGTTTCCTTTGCTCAGTCGAGATTAGCTTGAAGCAGAACAAATCAGAATTCCCTGTTATGCAGCATCATCAGTCTCCAGGCAGGGTCTCTCTTGCTTTCACCCCCTGGAGGAGACAGTTTGAAGCTGAGACCAAAGCTGAGTTTCAATGACAACAACGTCACACCTGCCTTTGGGTTCCACCTTCACCCTGTTTCTTCCTCGTGCTTTGAGCATCCCTGCAGAGGCATCAAGTCCCTTTTTGACTGACGTTGGTTTCTACATCTCCAGCTTTATGTCCCCCTTTTTCCTCTAATTTGGTGGATTCCCCTGAGATTTCAGCTTCGAATTAGCTTCCAAAACTTCCCCTCCCTCTCACTTTCATGCCCGGGGTGAGGGGGTCAGGGATTCAGAGGGGGGTTCTTGGGGAAAGGGTAGGGTGTGGAAATGAGGACTGAGATCAGGCAGATCCCAAGATTAAAGCAGAGCATTGGAGGATTCCTCTTGATCTCTTCAGCAAATGCTCTAACTGGCACAACTCTTGGATTAATGGGGGGTATCTGGGTGAGCCCCCACCCCCAAGAGGCTCCTTAAAAGGTCTGCTCCAGCTCAGAGTACTTTGCTAACAATGTTTCTTTCTGTTGAGGGATTGTTTTTAATAGCCCTTAATTCTATAATCCTGAAAAACATTAGTTATTCGTAATTTAAAGCAGCGATCAAATCTGGTTGTCACCCAGGCAAAGGACATTTCAGGGGTTGTTGTTTTTCCATAATAAGCCAATTTGCATCTGGGAACATTAAAGATCTTTGTCGAATAGCTAAAAAAAGGCAGTGGCTTTACGAAGTGAAAATCGTGACTATTTGTTTGAAACAAGAAATGCAGATTATGGATGAGAAAAAATACAGGTATTTCAGCAGGAAAATGGAGGGAGCATTTTTAAATAAGTGGAAATTGAAAAGTTTCAATTGGCATTTTATTGAAAACATATTCAACTCGTATTAGTAGGGAAACAAACAGCTTTCGGGTGGCATGAATCATTTTGATGGCCCAACCCAAAATTTAATTTTAGACAAAAATCTGATATTTTGGGGTTCCAATTTGATGAGATGGGACTTGCTGGAGAGAGATTTTAATTCACTTCTGGATCCACTAGTGAATCGGAAGAAGATTTTTTTTTCTTTTTTAAAGACCCACCCAGAGACACAACTTTCTCCTTCTCTCCATCCAGGAACTGATGGAGCCCTGGTGCCTGAAGTCCTAAGCCTGGTACAAGTTCTCGACGGATGGCGCCCCTATCTGCATTTTTGGCTCAGGCAGGAAATCCTATACCACTTCAGGATCTCTTGATATTCTTATAGGATCCCTTTCAGCCAAGTGACTATCCAGTCTCTTCTTTAAACAGTCCAAAATAAATTGACCCCCTCCTCTTTGCGGCAGCCTCTCAAGTACTGAAATACTGCTATCCTTCTTTCTGTAGAACAGCCACACACAAATCCTGAAACTGTTCATGTGTTTTAGTCTTCAGCCCATTAATAATCTTAGCTGCTCTTCTTTGCACTTTTGTGTCTTCTAAGTCCACTGCTCTGAGTAAATGTCTGTCCACACTCCATGCATTTATACGGCTTCTCCCCTTGTGGATCATCCTATGGAAAATAAGATGACCACTTTGAGCAAAGGTCTCTCCACACACCATGCGTTTAAATGGCTTTTTCCCCATGTGAATCTTTCTGTGGAAATTGTCTACTGCTCAGAGCAAAGGTCTTTCCTCACTCCAAGCATTTAAATGGTTTCTCTCCTGTGTGGAGCTTTCTGTGTCTTCCAAGTCCACTGCTCTGAGTAAACGTCTTTCCACACTCAATGCATTTATATGGCTTCTCTCCTGTGTGGATCCTTTCATGGGATATAAACTGACCTCTTTGAGCAAAGGTCTTTCCACACACCATGCATTTAAATGGTTTCTCTCCTGTGTGGATCCTTTTATGAATAGTAAGTGTATTGTTCAGAGCAAAGGTCTTTCCACACTCCATGCATTTAAATGGTTTCTTTCCTGTGTGGAGCTTTTTGTGGATAGTAAGTGTACTGCTTTGAGCAAAGGTCTTTCCACACTCCATGCATTTATACGGCTTCTCCCCTGTGTGGATCCTTTCATGCGAAGTAAATGTACTGCTATGAGCAAAGGCCTTTCCACATTCCATGCATTTGAATGGTTTCTCTCCTGAGTGGATCTTTTTGTGGCTCATAAGTCCATTGCCATGAGTAAATGTCTTTCCACACTCCATGCATTTATACGGCTTCTCCCCTGTGTGGATCATCTTATGGGAAATAAGATTACTTCTTTGAGCAAAGGTCTTTCCACACTCCATGCATTTAAATGGCTTTTCCCCAGTGTGGATCTTTTTGTGCATACTAAGTCTACTGCTCAGAGCAAAGGTCTTTCCACACTCCATGCATTTATATGGTTTCTCTCCTGTGTGGAGCTTTTTGTGGCTTCTAAGTACACTACCACGAGTAAATGTCTTTCCACACTCAATGCATTTATACGGCTTCTCCCCTGTGTGGGTCATCTTATGGGAAATAAAATGACCTTTTTGAGCAAAGGTCTTTCCACACTCTATGCATTTATATGATTTCTCTCCTGTGTGGAGGTTTTTGTGGGTTCTAAGTGCACTGCCATGAGTAAACATCTTTCCACACACCATGCATTTATACGGCTTTTCCCCTGTGTGGATCATCTTATGGGAAATAAGAGTAGCTCTTCGAGCAAAGGTCTTTCCACACTCTATACATTTATATGGTTTCTCTCCTGTGTGGAGCTTTTTGTGGCTTCTAAGTCCACTGCCATGAGTAAACGTCTTTCCACACTCCATGCATTTAAATGGCTTCTCCCCTGTGTGGAGCATTTTGTGGCTTCTAAGGCCACTGCCCCGAGCAAAGGTCTTTCCACATTCCATACATTTATACGGCTTCTCCTTTGTGTGGATAATTTTATGGGAAATAAGAGTAGCTCTTTGAGCAAAGGTCTTTCCACACACTATGCATTTATATGGCTTCTCCCCTGTGTGGATCCTTTCATGGGAAGTAAGCGTACTGCTAGAAGCAAAGGTCTTTCCACATTCCATGCATTTATATGGTTTTTCTCCTGTGTGGATCCTTCCATGGGAAATAAGATTACCGCTACGAGCAAACGTCTTTCCACACCCCATGCATTTATATGGCTTTTCTTTTGTGTAAATCACTTTTTGAGATGTAAGGAATTTATTTCCCAGAGAAAGAATGAATGTTCCATTGTTATTTTGTCTACTGTGTCTTCTTATAGCACCTTCTCCTTTTTGTGGGGTTAAATAGTATTCATTTACTTGTACTTTACCTTTGAATAGCTTCACACTTTTTCCAGTATATTTTTTCTTTATTTTCTCTTGTTGGGCAAGAAATTCTTGCATCAGAGCATCACTGGAAGATGAGCTTTCCTGATTCCAATTCTTTGACTGGTTTCTCTTATGGCTTTCGAATTCCATTCGAATTCCAAACTTCTCCGTTACATCTTTAGCATTGATTACTTGGAACAGTTCACAGGAATCTTGATTCTCCTGTTTATCATTACCTTTAATGCAAAAGGGAAATGAAAATGATAACAAGGTTAGAGAAAAAGATCAAAGTGTAGAAAGTCATTCCTTTGAATTTCTCCAAAAACACCATTAGGTTGTATGTTTGCATGTCTACAGTGGTGTGATGTAGACATGATGATTTGTAAATTCATGAGTCATGAAAGCTTTGAAAATGTCTAGAAAACACCTCTTTCTTTATAAATATAAATATATAATTGTAAAGGAAGAGATGTTTTCTAGACATTTTAGTCTTTAGACCTTCTAGTGAGCTTCGATGTCATATCCCTCTTCACCCAAGTGCCAATAAAAGAAGCCTTGACAGCCATCCAAAACAAATACAACCCCCCAAAGCACATTCTAGATCTGACCAACCACTGCCTATACATACTTCACCTACAACGGACAAAAATACAAACAAATAGAAGGAGCACCCATGGGATCACTCCTCTCACCTGTCATCACAAATCTCTACATGGAACACTTTGAAACACAAGCTCTAGAAAAATATGATCACAAACCCAAACTCTGGCTCAGATACGTAGATGACACCTTCATAATCTGGCCACATGGGAAAGAAAAACTGAACAACTTCCTCACAAACCTCAACAGCCTACACCCCAAAATACAATTCACCATGGAAACAGAAGCTAACAATCAATTTCCCTTCCTAGATGTCTTAGTATACAAAAAATCCAATGGCTCCCTAGGACACACCATCTACCAGAAGAAAACACATACAAACTGCTATCTACACGCACTCTCACACCACCACCCAGCACAGATCAATTCCGTAGCCGAGACACTCATCTCCAGAACAAAATGCTTAGCCGATGAACAACACCTAAAAACCGAACTACACACTCTTACTAACGTACTAACAGCCAATGGATTCCAAAGAAAGAAGATTACCCACCTAATCCAAAAAGAAACCCCAACCAAAATCCAAGACAGAGAACAAGAGAACGGCAAAGCCCTTCTCCCATATATAAAAGGCACTACAGACAAAATCAGCAAGATCCTCCAAAAACACAACATTAAAACAGCATTCTGCACAAACAGAAAAATATCCACCATCCTAAGAAACCCTAAAGACAAAATCGAGTTAGAAAACCAAGGAGTATAGAAAATCCCTTGCACCGCCTGCCCCACCACATACATCGGACAAACTAACAGAAGAATAAGTACACGCATTGAAGAACACAAGAACTCAATCAAAAAAGAAGAACCGACCTCTTCCCTGGTCCAACGCCTCAAAGCCACAGGACATGAGATTGACTTTAAAAATACCAGAACTATCGCCAAAACCGAACACTTCAACAACAGAATAATCAGAAAAGCCAGAGATAGAAAAACGCCCACACAGCATGAATAAACGAGATGACACCTCCCGCCTACCAGCCATTTGGAAACCCGCCCTCCTGAACAGACGAGTACCTAACATGAAGAATGACACCAGACCCACACCCACGAGGGCCACACAAGATGCTACCACCACACTTCCACGTAGAAAGCAGACTCACACCCACACAGAAGATGAGACACGACCACGGACCAGAAGCCGCACCGCAGCTGCATCACTACCCGCTTCAAACCCCTCCAACCCATACATCAAGCGAACTGATGCCCACCATGAAGATGCAGCACGACCACGAACGTGAAGCCAAACAGAAAGGATCACAGCTCACCAGCTCAAATCCCCCAGCAACTAAGACTAACCTGAGAACAACCAAGCCCCCACCTGAACAGAACACAGCCAGACCCCCAACCAATCAAGTCACACCCCCACTAGCAGTTAAAAGGAAGAAGCAGCTGCAAGCTCACATTATTCTGAGAAGCACAAAGCCGAAGACACAAGCCTGAAGATGATGAATGAGACTTCATTGAAACGTCGCCTAGATACTTCCAATTTTACACGGGAGAAAACCCGAATAACAAACATACATACATACATACATACATACATACATACATATGCAAATCTCATTCAAAGTCAGTTTCGAATTAAGGAATAATCAGGGGAAACATCCAAGGAGGAATTATGAGAAAACGTAAGATTTATTGGGGTGGGTTAATTTCAGCAGAGACCTGTGAGAAATGAAACAATTTTGAAACAAGCTCCTTCTTCTGCGGTGTACCTTGGAGCAGCTGCTCCACGGCATCTGTCTGTTGGGCGGGATCCCCACTCGGTCTGTTCCTCGATCACAGCGATGAGATTTTGGAGATAAATCCCTTGCTTGAAGCCTCCCATTGCCTTGTAAACGCTCTTCACACTCAGACTGGAAAGGTTGGGATGCTTCAAGAATGGCTACTTCGCTGCTCCAAAGTCTCATCGGCTTGCAAGGGCTCTTTGGCCGGATCTGGTACAGTTCACAGAGAACGGAGGGCTAAAATACTTTAGTAAGAGATCACACAAGACCAGTAGTGCAAGATCTCAGGCCACTAATCTCGCATGATCTCACACCGCAGTTCTTTAGGCCTGTGTTCAGGGGTGGGATGCTACCGGTTCTGCCCAGCTCTATAGAGCCAGTAGCTCTGAAGAGCAGCAGACACCGAACCGGTTCTGTGTTTGCTGCTGTTTGGTCCACCTGCCTGCCCAGGGTCTTACCTGTCCTTTATTTCCTGCTTTTTCAACCTTTGCGCGACACAGCTGAGGTTGAAAAAGCAGGAAAAAAGTGGCTTTTCAAATGCTGTGCACCAGCTTTTCAGTTGTCTGGGCGGCACAGTTTAAGATTTTTTTACATGCGCACACATGTGAGTGCAAAATGTAGTCACTGAACCGGTAGTAACACCGGTTGAATCCCACCCCTGCCTGTGTTCTTTTAAGAACTGAGGACTGCACGAGATCCAGGGCAAAAGTCTTTGAAAATGAAGAGGGGTTTCCTCTGTTTGAAAAGCATTTTGCCCTGCATATTGTGCAGGCCTTGGTTAGCAGGGAATAGAGGCCTAAAGCACTATAGTATGAGATCACGTGAGATCAACAGTGGTAGATTTCCCACTATTGATCTCACGTATCTCTCACTATATTAGGCCTCTTTTTTCTGTGAATGCATCAAAGTAGGCAAAGAAACCGATGGTTCACACCGTCACAAGGTACCGTATTTTTCTGACTTTAAGACAGTGGTCCCCAACCTTTTTTGTACCAGGGACCAGTTTCAAGCAGAAACACTTTTTCAAGGACGGGGGGGGGGGGGGGG